CTTTTAATCTTTCCCATTGCTTGTAAATTATCAGAAAGTGTTTGCTGAGCAATGTTTAATCTTTCTGCAAGTTGTTTCTGAGTTTGACACGCATCTTCATCCAATAATGCTTGTAATTGTTGGTCTTCAAACTTTTTCGGTTGACCTGGATGTTCTTTGTCTTTCACATCGAAATCATCATTTTTAAAGCATTGAAACCAGCGTTCACAAGTATCTTGAGATGGAGCATGTTCACCATAAGCTTCCCGAAGTATACGATAACTTTCAGCAGCACTTTTCTTCCAAATAAAGTAATGAATTAAAACTTCCCGCAAATGTTCTTTTTTGGGCACAAAATTCGACATTTTTAAGCGTAAAAATATCTATGATGTTAACACCTTCAGTAAATTTGACATATGAAGTTTTGAAGCTTGTTGTCAATACAACAAAATAGCATACATATCAAATCGCATATGTCAACATATGTGTAACTCCATCTATTGAAAAAAATCTGCATTATTAACCGGTACACCTAGTACACAACTGGGTGTCCTTTACAGACGAGGGGACATGTCTTACTTTTCTTTGCATCTACAGTGCCAGAAACACATCCGGTACATTGCGCTCAATAAACACTGAATGGCTACTAGTATGTGAATGGGAAAGACAGTAATTACTGGTATTTTCCCATCTAATAAAAGTTGCCTTTATTCTTCATACCATACTATTTTTAGTTTAAAAATATGTAACTAAAAGGTGTAATATATATATATATATTCTTTTTTTAAAAAATGTAAATGCATTAAAACATTTGTTAATAGCATATTTAAATAAGTATGCATTCAAAAAATCTGGAAGGACACCCCCCAAATGCCAGCAGTGGTTACCTCTAAGTATTTAGATGTGAAATGAGAGTCCGCAGGCCGACGCTCTATCCACTGAGCCAAACCAGCTGGGGTGACACATCTTTTCTAGCCCAGCCAAACCAGCTGGGGTGACACATCTTTTCTAGCCCTTCATTTTCAGTCCATGTCTTTGGATCTGAAATTGAAGCAGAATAATACCAGCAAGATTGCCTTAGAAAAATAGATGTGAAATGATGCTGACCTTCTCCTCTATGCACTCCCGAGTTGTTTTGCTATCTTACTGGGGAGGTGTGCTGCTGTTAGGCTAAGAAAATATGAAGTAATATGTATTTTAGAAAGGAAAGTTTGGCCTATCCCATGAGCCACAATCATTAGACATAAAAAAAAACCATAATGAAGCATGATCTTTTACATCTAAACCCTGTGTTGACAGTGACTTGACTTCGTGAACTTGAATAGTTGACTTAGCTTGGTAGCTTTAATGGTATTAGGCAGGTTTCTGTTTTCCTTACTCATGTCTGTGTTTATACTATTCAGTAGGTATGCAAGCAGCATTTTACTTGTAAATGTTCTAGCAATTACATGATCGCTTTTGCTCTCTCTCTTCCTCTCCTTTAATTCTCCCTTCTTATTCTTGGACTCAGTGTTAGAACCTATTTTTTTTTAAAGCCAGCCATGGCCTCTTCCAAATAGATAAGGCAGAATTAAGTAGCCAGCGCGCCTCTCTCTCTCTCTCTGTCTCTCTGTCTCTCTCTCTCTCTCTCTCTCTCTCTCTCTCTCTCTCTCTCCTTTCATTATGCAACTCTTGTTTTCAGGTTGTCTCTGTATAGAAGAAATAACAGTGTCTGATCAGTGATATTTTTGCTCCGCATCGTTTGCCTGCTTGTCTTTCTATCGTTTTGTTTGGCTGACTCCGGTGTTGGAAAACCTAGACAATGTTATTAGACTAAAATAGAGTTTCTTTCTTTTCCCCAAAGGAACAATCACAGATGATAAAATGTGCCTCTAAAGAGCAAGTCTCAAACTGATGTCTATTCTTTTCCAGCTCCAGCTGAACCCTTGCCGCCAGGATGGGGAAACAGAACAGCAAGCTGCGCCCAGAGGTCATGCAGGACTTGCTGGAGAGCACGGACTTCACGGAGCACGAGATCCAGGAGTGGTACAAAGGCTTCTTGAGAGACTGCCCCAGCGGACATTTGTCGATGGAAGAGTTTAAGAAAATTTACGGGAACTTTTTCCCTTACGGGGATGCTTCCAAGTTTGCAGAGCACGTCTTCCGCACCTTCGATGCCAATGGAGATGGGACAATAGACTTCAGAGAATTCATCATAGCCCTGAGTGTGACATCGAGGGGCAAGCTGGAGCAGAAGCTGAAATGGGCCTTCAGCATGTATGACCTGGATGGAAACGGTTACATCAGCAAGGCAGAAATGCTAGAGATTGTGCAGGTATGTAGCCCACTAAAAGGTGTAATATATATATATATATATATTCATTCAATGAGAAGAACATGAGCTACAAGTTAGAATTGAAAGGGGCACAGTAGTGCTCAGTGCATATTTGGCCTACCCGTGTTTTTGAGAATGTTGAACCCGTGTTACTAAACAGAGAGGTTGCACATAAAAATGCAGATTGGTTGGCATCTCTTGAAAACTCAGGAGGTCTGGCAAGGTCAACGTGATCAGCAGTGAGCGGGACCCAGAGACAAACCTAAGGCGACCGGGACACGGAGAGGATCAGGAGAGCCCCAGCCGCAGGCAATCAGAAGGGCCAGGTGGGCGGGGAGGGCTGGCGGTTGCTCACTATCTTGGCAGAAGCGTGGGCACAATAGGGAAGCACCCGGCCACAGACAGGGGGTCCAAGAAAGTGGGCGTTTGGCTTCCTGGAGAGCTTGTCACAGAGGCCAGCACTCGTGCCAGGACATCTGGGTTCAGAGGTAGAGCTGCAGCCCATAACGGGGGGCTGGGGGGGGGGGGGGGAAGCGGCAGAAAGACTCTGGAAGGAATGGGGGTGGATGTAACAGGAGGAGACAGAAAGGCTCCTGCTGCTGGTGAGGAAGAGGGTGGAGGTGTGGCTCTTGCTTTCCAGGAGCCAAGGAGACCTGCTCACAGAAACGAAGGGCAGAGCCAGAAGGACTGACTTGTTAGTGAGCCTTGTGGCCAAGGCCTGGGGTCTGCTCCTGGGCCGGTGGGACGGAACCCACACGGCAGGTAGAGTGACAGCTGCACACAGTGCAGGGATGTGGGAGCAGGAATCCAGGTGATCGCCCTGTATTACGAAACTCTGCAAGATCCGCCACTGGTTCTCCTTTCTGCTTGGGCCACCAGTGGCTCTTCCTTCATCCTGAGCAGTAACTATATGAATAAATTGTGTTAAATTGATCCCTCGGAAACGGGGATCTTAAACAAAAATAAAGGATTTCTCCCCTGCCCCAAGGGTAAATGTATAAAAAATATAAAGTCTACTGTAAAAATATGGGCAGTATAGAAAAATATAAAAGAGTATCATTGCTAATAATTTTCTAATATATCCTCCTACTCCTATTTCCATGCATTTAGAAATGTCAATTTCGTAATGTACATAAAATTTTGTATCTTGCCATTTTCACTTAACATAATAACACAAACATTTCTCATGTTATAAAAACTTTTCATAAAGATATTTTAAAGGCGCATAAGAATCATATACTATAATATACATGATTTTCCCTTATTGTTGGATATTTAGGTTGTTTCCAGTTTTCATTATTGCACGTAGGGTTGTAACTTTTAAAAATAAAGTAACGAATAATTCTTGTGCATGAAACATTTTCTATATTTAGGATTATTCCCTTAGAATAAATTCCCAGCAGTGCACTTACTGGGCCGAAGGGAATGAGCATTTATCTCTTCGGCTTGGATACCCTCTGCCAGATTGTTTTTCCAAATGTTCTCCCAAAGTGAGGGAAGGGTGCCCTGTATGATTTCGCTTTTCCCATTTTTCTTAATCTTTGCTAATTGAACAAAAATTAAAATGTAAAAGATGAGTCATTCTAGTAGCTCTATCTTGTCTCTCCTTTTTATCTGGGAGAGCTGTGTCCCCCGGGGCTCCCTGCCCCACTGCAGGGAGAGGGCCAAGGACATTCTCCTCCCGGAGAGAACTGCTTCCTGATTGGCACCTAAGAAAAAGGTGCAGCCACTGTGTCCTCTTCTGTTTAGCATTTCTGCCCATTTCTCCTGGCTGTCCTGGCCAGTGGTTTGGTGGCCAGTACTGATGGAGAGGAAGACCCCCCAGACCACACGGGCTTTTAGAAAGCAATGCGTTCACACATCCATTCCGCACCTGGGATGAAGCACCTACTAAGTGGCTGGCACTGGACGTCAGTAGTACCAGGTATAGGGAGGGAAATAGGCTCTCCCTGTGCTGTGGAATCCAGCTGCGAGGGAGAGCGGGAACTCTGCAGAGAATGTGCAGGAGGGGCCAGTAAGCACTTGCTGAGTGAGCCCCTGCTGACTTCCTCCATGTCCAACACGGAATGTACAAAGTGATCATAAGTTGAAGGAGCGTTCAACCTGACAAGGCATCTTCTTCTCTGTGAAGTAGCTCAGGGCACTCGCAGGCCCACAGTAAGTCTCCAGGTCACAACTGGGAGGGCACAGATTCCTTAGTAAACACATATATATACCCAGAGTCTTTAAGAAGCCTGCAAATGGAAAGCTCAAATTTCCTCAATTGTTTCCTGCAGCACTGCACCCCGATGATTAATATTCATGACGGTAGAGAGATAATATTGCAGCATTGTGATGTGACTTCCAAATTGCCAGTAAAATTAAATTAAATTTAGAACCATTTTCCTATTAAGGGCTGTGCTATTCTATTCTGCTACTTTGCAAACTCACTACTCATGTATTCTGTCTCTTTCTTATGTTAATTCCCAGTTTTCAGTGATTCTGAATTGGCATTTACTCTAGGATATTCCCAAACTTCATACTTTATTCCCAGCCCCTCACCCCACCCTCACCCTTTGAAATCCCACACTCCATAAATTTTCTAGTTTTCCTTTCTTGATGTTGCTTCCTATAGTTTAGCGTTGGTATCTACAGAATATTTTTTATGTCAGCAAGCTGAAATCTTTTGTACTTCCCAACATTGGTAGGAAGGACTCTAATGTGGACTCTGTCATACTGAACTACACTGTATTAGTTTCCACTTGCTGCTATAACAAATTACCATTAACTTAGTCGCTTAAAACAACACAAAGTGATTATCTTACAGTTTTCGAGGTCAGAGGTCTGAAATCAATTTCAGTGGCCTAAAACTCAAGGTGTCCACAGGTTGTGTTCCTTCTGGAGGTTTTAGGAGAGAGTCTGTTTTCTTACTTTTCCTAGTTTCCAGAATATTCCTTGGCTTGTGGCCCTTTTCATCCATCCTTACAGCAAGCAACAGTGGATTGACTGAGTCCTTCTCACACTGCCATTCCTGTGGGTATCTCTTCTGCTTCCCTCTTCCACTCAGTTCTCCTGACTGTCCTGGTCAGTGGTTTGGTGGCTAGTAAGATAATTCAGAATAATCTCTACATGTCAAGATCATTCATTTAATCACATCTGCAAAATCCCTTTTACTATGCAAGTACTGAATATTCATAGGTTCCAGGGATTAGGATGTACACATTTTGGGGGACCATTATTCCGTCTACCACATATGCCAAAACACAGTTATGTTCCTTTTTAAAAAAATAATTTTGTGCTTTATGAACATCTGGATGAATAAGAAAAACCATATGCAGATTTATTTTTAGAGTCTTAAATGGACATTTTTACATTCATGTGTTTGTGTAAGTGACAAATTTAGGAACACGATTTATTCCCAATATTTTATTATTTCATTAAAATCACCTCTCAGGAGTCTTTAGCCAGATAACAACTCTGACCTTTTCCCATGTTACAGCAGATCCTCCCTTCCCGGTGGGGTCAGCTCACTGCTGCAAGAGGATGGAGACTCCTTTCTGCCCTACACAGTTCTCTGTCCCCCAGCCCAGCCAGAGGCAGGTCTGAGTACGCACACCCATCACAGTGCAGGCTGTGTCTGAGGAAGGGCCGAGGAGCACATGAGTGGCATTGCCAATTGGACCATGAATGCTTAGATCAGTGGTTCTCAACCTTCTGGCCCTTTATTTATTTATTTTTTTAAATATATTTTATTGATTCTTTACAGAGAGGAAGGGAGAGAGATAGAGAGTTAGAAACATCGATGAGAGAGAAACATCGACCAGCTGCCTCCGGCACATCTCCCACTGGAGATGTGCCCGCAACCCAGGTACATGCCCTTGACCGGAATCGAACCCGGGACCCTTCAGTCCGCAGGCCGACGCTCTATCCACTGAGCCAAACCGGTTTCGGCAACCTTCTGGCCCTTTAAATACAGTTCCTTATGTTGTGACCCAACCATAAAATTATTTTCGTTGCTACTTCATAACTGTAATGTTGCTACTGTTATGAATTGTAATGTAAATGTCTGATATGCAGGATGGTCTTAGGCGACCCCTGTGAAAGGGTCGTTCGACCGCCAAAGGGGTTGCGACCCACAGGTTGAGAACCACTGGATTCGATGTTCTCTGTGATCTTGGAGGTGAGGGAACACTGAATTTAGGGATCCATCAATGGGACCACAGCACTTCCAGGGAGGGAATGTAGGAAGAACATGGAGGTCAACTGTGCCCCCTTCTGTTCTCAGAAAGTAATGGAGACTCTTGAAATAATGATAGGATTGCCATTGGTTAGGAATGATCAGTGTATCCAAAACGAAGACGAAGTGGGAACCAAGAGAAGAATTGGCATGTGAGAGTTGACATCTTGGTTAATCTTACCTTGCCTCTCTCTTTTTCAATCTCCCTTTTCCTTCACTTTCTTGAGCAAGTTACTTCATCTTCCTGTTGGTTGTTTTCATAATTTGTGAACTAAAACTAATTATAGCACCGGACTCACAGGTCATTGTAAGGGATAATTAGTTATTACAAGTAGAGCTCCTAGAACAGTACCTGTCATGGATTATTACTCAATAAATGTTGGCTGCTATTATTCTATAGAAGTTTCCAGAGCTTCTACAGGATGTTTCCTATAAAATAAAAGGAGGTCATTTCTCATTTATAGATCAAGGCAGTAGAGCATTTTCCACTAAGTTTTAAGTTAAATTTACCTAGACATAAAATGTATGTTCACAATGAAAAGGGAGGTAACCCAACTAAACCTCCAATTGGTGGAACTCACAGAAGTTCTTGGGTTCCTGGCCTTCTTCACTTGTTGTCTTTCCTGCTAAATACCAGCCTATCTGGGAAGAAGCTAAAGTTTGAGGCAACTCTGATGTTCACAGGACTCAGATAAAAGAAGATCATCTTTCTGGGAGAGAATGTGGTTGAAGCCAGGAGTTCCCCAAATCTGAACTGTGGACTTGAGCCCACAGGAGCACTTCA